AGGTTCCTCAGCAGGGTCTGCTAGGGATTGCCTTTGCTCAAGGAATATTGCAAAATTTCTCTCTATTCAGACATTTCTTCTCCATATCTGACCTATTTGGTGATAAGTTCTGTAAACAGCAAATAGGCATGCTGTGTTCTTGTCGTGGATGGTTGTTTACCATGCCTGATGAAACAGCTTCAGAAATACACATTATTTATAAATATCTGCACAATTGACGTTTAGTCTGGGATTGGTAACAAGGTGACTGCACTTGTGCAGGAGTGCAGTTTATGGATGTGCTTCATCTGGGTGTTTTTATTCACAGAGGGCCTGATTCCAAATGCCATTCCTTTGGAAAATATGATTTATGCAGCTGTTCTGAATCAGCCTCTTACTTAGATGAATCATTTAGGTGGGGTCTTTAGTGTATTAATTCCTTCAGTTTAGGAGTTTTATTTTTTCTGAGATAAAAGTATGTAGTTTATCTCTACAGTAGTCACTAACTTTCCTTCTCTCGACTATTTTGACATTTCTTTTATCTTAATCTGTCCTTGTCTCCATACATCAAGATGAGGAAGGTTTCTTTTCAACAGCAGAAGTGTAGATGTACAGGAGATAGAAATGATGTACCTCTCTCCTGATGTCCAGTTAGGTTAATTACCTATTTTCTGTGCTTTCTGCATTTTTTACAGGTCATGAACAAATGTATGATCCACCTCATGCATGTCATATAAAACAAAAATAAATGTGTGATGCTGAAATCAGTTGTCTTTATGTTCAGTTCTCTGGCCGGATGAGTCCAGCCCAGCTGGGATTGGCCTCCAGCACCTTCCCCTCTGTCACTTTCCAAGTTTCAGTCTGTATGACTTACCCACTCCCCACCCCCTTTGTGTCAAGTCCTATAGACCTGAAGCAGTATAGAGCTCAGTGTATCTGAGTGTACAGATGGAGTCCATGTATCATAGAAAAATTGTTAACTTCCTGCAATATATTGATGGCTTTCTTCTTTTTAAATATTGGTTTCATTGTTCCCTGTTTTTGATACACCAGGTGTGGAAAAGGAAGGTCTCTGGCGCTTTAATTGCAATAGAGTTTAAATTAGTTTAAATTATTAATGTATTCTACAAATAAGCACCTGGTAAGCATCTTCCCTGGCAAAGACTATATCAGTTAACAACATAATCAAGATTGAACAGTATTCTAGGGAATTATGGAAATCACAGGAGTAGAAGTAATACTGTGAAAGAGTACAAACTAGAATTCAGATTCCTTTTTTGGCCAACTTTCTTTGATGTAAGACAAAGGTTTTGAAAATAGTATAGCATTTAAAATGATGCCTTTGGTGGTCTTGGAGAGAAATACGTTCAGTAGTAGTTGGCCTCCATTTTTTCACTTGTACAATTGCCAGCTGAGATTTTTGTTTGTTTGTTTTTTAATGTCACTGAGTTTGGTGAAAATAGACTTTAAAAGTAAGTTTGTTTGGTTAAAAAAAAAAAAAAAAGGCTTTAAGGAGGTTTCTGTGTAAAACCTTTCTCCCTATTAATCTCAGTGTTCCTTTATTTTTATTTGAATTTAGGACGTGTGTGCGTAGGTCTTCTATATGTAGGGCCTGATTAATTTTTTTTTTTGTAGCACCATGTTTTCCTTGTCATAACTCCATTACCTCTGCTTTCTGATTTACACCTGCAAGATATGAGTTACATCTACAGTATTTGCATTTATCCATCCTCTCCACCTTCCTCTCCCCCATCTCTCAGCTGTTACCTTGTATGTCTGAGGATCCTTTCTCAGCTTTAGCTCCCAGTGTGCGTTGTTGTGCTTTGGGTGTGGGGCTCTTAACTCTATGGTCTTTTTCCAGTGGAAGAAACCACTCACTGCTAGCAAAGACGTGAGCGTTCAGTAGTACTGACTAAAGACAATTGAACTGGCACAAGAATGCCCCTAGGACAAGGTCTGGGAGGTGGTGGATAGAGTCGTGCAAACTCTCCAACGATCAAAATCCTTGGATTGCTGGAGCATGTCGTAGGGACTGCGCAAGCACCTGTAAATACCCCAAAAAAAGACTTCTCCAGCATCGTTTGCAAAGAGAGGAGCTGCTCTGCAAAGACTGCTGCCACTACTTTCCAGAGAGCAACTTTGGCGGGGAGAGCAGCTGGGGGGCTCTGAGGCTGGGGCTCTGTGGTTTCTGTAACAGGCCCTACAGAAGCACTACGGGCAGTAAGATCTCGGCCAGCCTCCCGACTGACTTAACATTCAACATCTGTTCAGAAACAGATCTCGAGTTGCAGTTGGGATATGCCTCCATCAGTGCCGGCTGTGATTCATGACGCAGTTGAAAGCAAAACTTGTTTTTGCTTAGCCAGTGAAGTGGCCCCAGAATCGTGGTGATTTGAGTGACTCGGTCCCGTCAGTAGGTTGCTGTGTGACGAGCAGTGATGCAGACAGACCGTGGGCTGTTAGAAGGCAGGAGGATGGCCGCTGGTGTTTGAGCATGTGAGGAAAGAAATTGCTGTCTTTTTGTTTGAATTACTCAGCACGGTTACATGGAAACAAGCTGACACCAGCTCGGGAGAAAGAGGATCCTGCACTTCTGTCTTGGTTACTGGAGAGTTCACGTGGCAAGAATTTCTTCAGCACCAAGCACGTGCTGCGCCGCTGCAGCCTTCCCCATAGTAGCTGCTCAAGAACAATGTTCAGAGAGAATTCCTTCCAGAGTAAACGCACCCCTTCTAAACATGAAATGCAGGCATCTGTATGAGTAGACCCACCATCTGCAAGGACTTTGTTTCCCTGCATGGCACGCCAGGTCAGATACGGAGAGCACTGCTGCCTAGTCACGTTGTGGGACAGAAGATGCTTACACAAGCAAATCGTGTCTCCAGCTAAGTGCTGACATATGGCTGAGTACTGTGGTGTCACTCCTTTACTTTCAATTACTAAGCAAAGCTCCGTGAAGTTCCCGAAACAGAACATTTGCCACCAATCAAACACTCCTGCTATGGCTTGGGAAGGCAGGACCCCATGTCATGAATAGAGGTCCCTCAGCAGATGGACCGTGCTGACCATGGTGGTGTTTCCAGCTGCCACGTGCTGCTCTGCCAGGCCCTGTTCTCACCTGAAACGTCTGCTCTCAGTTCCAGCAGCTGTTCGTGATGGATTCACATGGCTCGATTGCACTGGCCAGCCCTGAGTACAAAATCCATTTTCTAAAGGTTCTTCTGGGGCACCTGCACCCTACCCAAAGGGTGTGTGAAGAGCACGGTAACAGGCACATGGAGTTCAGTGCCAGCTTCGCCATGCTGTGCTTGGGACGTGGCCTTCCATGGCAAAAATGCAACAAACTGAGAAGTCTCAGGTGGGCCATGAACTGTGAAAGCTGAGAAGATCTGGTTTTGCTGCTGTTCAGCCTCAAGATCCCAGCCCTTGACACTTCTGAAGATGAACAGATTAAATTCTGCTTTATAAGGGTTGCTCAGGACAGGAGAGTGCTGTGGCTTTTAAAAATACGGTTTATAAGGCATTATCTTTTTGTAACTCTAGCTACTCTTCCTAAAGTGTTTTATTGAAAAAGAGCCTTTGTAATTGTTTCTGTTTGAGCACAGGCTGGGGGCTCAGATATGCGGATGGGTAGGGCTGGCACACTTCTCCCTTGGCCCTCAGTTCACCTTGTCTGCAAGAGATGGTCCTTATTTTTTCCTGTTCCTTACTTACAGACTTGGCAACTGGAAAGGGAAAATGATTACTTACTGTTATGTTCTGAGACCCCCGTGAGAGCTTTTTAAAGGGAGAGGAGTATATATATGTATATATGCATATGTTTTCAGATGTTTGCCTTAGCTAGTTTATTAAAATAATACAAATTATTTTTTATAATTTCTGTACTTTGTGTAAAGCTGTGGACAACACATGACGTGTTTTGGGAAATACATTAAAACACTTCTCACATTTCATTTTTTTTTTCCTCGATCTTGTATTTTTTGTGCTTTACTTCAAGCTTTTAACTTCACTGCTTGCTTTTAGCTTCTTGTTTTCCACAGTTGTGGTAAGACAAAAAGATTGAACCTGTTCGTTACAGGCTGACACTTTTAAGGCTAATCCTTCTTAATCTAGTAGAACAACTCCAAAGAAAGCTGTAAAAACCTGGGCAATAAACACCAGCGGGGAGGCTGCCGGGTTTGGCTCATGCCAATTAGGCTTACTGCTGTGTGGTTGCAGTTGCTTAGTACATAACGAGAAGTAGCCCCAGAAAGCATTTGTGGTGCAGATTTTATTGGAATAGCAAACCCAGGAATGGTGTTTGATGCTCATGTACAAAGTGAAAATCACCCTCTGAACCGCTGCTTGGGAGTGCTAAAAAACAAGTGGCTAAATTGGGGAAGTAAATGGAAATACTGCAGAGACCGGCGGTAGGTGTGATTGCTCACTGTGAATATGATGACAGGGATCTCAAAGGGAGAAAAAACGCTCTGTTTTTTTTTTTTTTATTTTATTTAAAAAAAACCGCTGCACTGTCCATGATGGGTATTTGAGGGCAGGGCCTTTTCAAGGACTTCTGCTTGAGCTGGGAACCTCTAGGGCTGGTTCAGTCACAGCAAACGGGTCCAAGCCACTCACAGCAGTAAAGAAAAGCCTGAGATGTTTCATTGCTCGTCAGAGTTTCCTCCCCAAGCTATTATGGCACGTGGGCTGAATGTTCAGCAGGGACTTCCTCAAGCTCTAATTGTACACGAGTACTGAGAGTTGTATGTGAGTAATGAGAGCCCTTGCAATAAGTAATAACATACTCGAGTACTAAGGGCTCTCAAGATGCAAATGTGGTCGCATCTCCCTCTTTCAGCTGCTACAGGACATGTAGGAGCCCAGAGGCAAGGGAATAGCAGTATTTAGCTCTCAGTGGTCTCTGCGATCCTTAGCTGTGTGGGCTGGGCATCTTGCTGTGGGTGGATTGCAAATGTAGAAGGACAGCCCTGTGGACCTGTTCTCACAGCAGACAGTTACTGGTGGCTCTGGGTATTTATTTATTTATTTATTTATTTATTGTACATACCACAGGCATTTGGATAGGTGGAGAGAATGGACTCTTCTTTTAAAAAAGTTGAAAGTGAGTCAGCAGGAGGTGAGTGCACTTCCCCCATTGTTTCAGTGGATAATTGTGGAACTTGCACAGCCCACCCACGCGTAGGAGTCACTACATCTCTTCCTTTTCCCCCCAGCCCTGTAAGTAACTCACTTTGCTAATAGAAATCCCTATGTGGCAGGCACCTGCTTGTCTTCATTTGAAAACTGCCTGCTGTGTTTCGGGCACCACTGGGCTCTACGAAAATACATTCGTGGTGTCACCAACAGCACTTCTCAGGTGATGGATGGATGTTTGAATCCGGCCCCCATCAGCTTTGGGATGAGTTTCTCATCCTCCTGCTGGCTGCTGCGTTTGCAGCAGATTGACCTGAGGCTCTGGGTGAGGTTGTGGGTTTACACGAGCACATTTGTTAGCCAGGGTGGCTCGGCCCCACAGGAATGCTGGCAGCAGCAGTAAGCCCTTCTCTCGTAGTGTTATTTTTTTTTCCCCAACAAAATGTATGAAATTCCCAAGGTAAAACGTTAGAGGAAAAGTTATCAGATAGGTCTCTGGGGATGTAAAGTCGCAACTATGCATTTATTTAAAAGTGGATGAGTAAATTTGGAGTTGGGGTGGTAAAACATACAAACCTCAAGCAATTAACATACAAACGCAGGCAGGAAATGTGGCTAGCCCCACGTCTGATGGCAAAGGGCCATGGTAAAACCCAGCCTGCAGGTCTCCCTGTGTGCTCTGACGCTTGGATTTTCCTCGCACCCTGCAGCATGTCCAGCACCGTCCTGACCCCTTCCCAGCCCTATTGTCCCCAAGCCTTTTGCTCAGGGATGTCGTTGCCTGTACACAGTCGTACGGTTTCTCCCCTCTCTGAGCCTTCCTCCGGCTCCTCTTCACAGCCTTTCCACCAGGTGTGCTGCCTTCCCCCAGCGCTTCCTCTGCTAGGACGGGAGAGCCAAAACACCTCACCTGGTGGAAAAGCAGCTGCTCAGTCCCAGCCACAAGGAGCAGCGATGTCCTTTGGCCTATGCTTCTGCAGGAACAGGCCTGCAACCCGCAAGGAAGAGCTTGTGTGATCGCTCCTGGGCAGCTCCACCAGAAGCCACGCTGCCTGGCTTCATCTCCACAGGGCAAGGGGCTGTCTGTGCCAGCTGTGACACACAGTTTTACATCCCCGAGGCACAGCCAGCCGTTCTCATGGGCTGCTTGAAACGCTGGAACTCACCAGATGTTTTCTTTGGACGCTGTTGTGTTGTATCTGGACCGGGCCCGAGGAGTGCTGCTGGGGCGGGCACGGCGTGCTGGGCTGCCGTGCCAAGCAAACTTTGCCCACTGCTGGGACCTCAGCCTGCTTTATAAACAAAAACAGGCTCTCTGCCCCGATTTGCAGCCCTCTGGAAATGAGGAGGAAGGTGGCTGGTCCCAGGTCCCGGGGGGAGCTGGAGCGGGGCCTGGAGACCGGCCATTTCCCAGGCTCCAAGCTATTGGCTTCCTCTCCCTCTGTCCCCTCTCTGGCAGCGGGTTTGAGCAGCCAAATAAAACACACAGCATAAAACCCTGGTGCCTGGGGTGAGCAGCAGACCTCTCCCCAGGAGGCTGTCTTTTAGGATGGATAGAAAATAGAACAATGGATGCCAGAAGCTGTGCCCGGGAGATGTCCGGCACAGCCACCAGCGGTTACCCCAAAACTTCTCAGCCCCCTTGCACGGCGGATCAACTGCGGAGCAGCTCCTGGGAGCACCCCACGGCTTTAAACACCTCGGGGATGTGGCTGTCCAGTTTGGAGATGATTTTGTAAATGGGCTTCTTCCAGGAGGGGTCGGCGTCCTTGCCCGCCCTGACGGCGCTGAAGAACTCCCGCAGCGTCAGGCTGGCCACCTCCAGGAAGCGCCCGGGCACCTGCGGAGAGACGGGCAGGGGGGTACCGGGGCGGGTGGGCACCGACGGCCCCATGCCCCAGCCCGCAGCCCTCACCTGGAAGTCGTTCCCCTTGTTGTAGTGCGTGTTGAGGGCGCGGAAGAGCTCCGAGTCCCGCGAGACCCGCAGGGCTCCGGCGTCCGCGACGCCCTCCAGCAGGGCCTGCCGGGCGAACTTCTCCACCTGGATGTAGTAAAACTCGCGGAAGTTGCTGAACCATTTGATGAGCTGGGAGGTGATGCAGCGGCTGAACTGCCGGGGGTAAAGGGGAAAGAAAAAGGCGTCTCAGCAAAACCAGCGCCAAAATCCCACCCGCCACGGGTCCCTCCCGGCGCCCCGCAGCCCAGCTACCTGCACATCGAGGAAGTAGGACCTCAGCAAAGCGGAGCTGGGGTAGCGGGTGAAGAAGAACATCAGCTTGGCCTTCTTCAGGTGGCCTGGGGTCAGCGCCTCCTGGGTGCGTCTCGGGGTCAAGGAAAGCCAGCACGCAGCAGCCCCGGGCTCGCCTGCCCAAACCCATCCCCACACCTGGCATCACGGGGCGGCTGAGGCTGCAGGGACCTCTGGAGGCCACCAGGACCACGTCCAGATGGCTTTTGAAGGTCTCCAAGGACGGAGACCCCACAGCCTCTGGGCTGCTGGTGTTTAGCATAAAACAGCACAGCCCAGTTGGAAGGGACCCCCAAAATCATCTCCTCAAACCATCTCCTCAGATCAGGCCCCAAAGGATACGTGGGTGGGGGCGAAGGGCGCCCCGTCCCCCTCCGCCTCGCCAGGGCCCAGGGGCAAGGGGCACCGCTGCTGCCTCACCGCTGATGGCCGCAGCCTGGGGGCTCCCCAGTGAGGGTCCGGGGCCTCGGGGGGACACCTCTGCGGGGCAGGGGGGCTCCCCCAGTGGCCGTAGCCCAGCAGCTGGCCCAGCAGCCGGCCCTCCTGCGCTGAGGGGACGGCCGAGCCCAGCGTGTACCCCACAGCGGGTGCCTGGTGGGGGTTCCTGAGTGCCGTGGGGCTGAAGGAGCTGCCCTGAGGGCCCAGGCTGTGCCCTGAGGGCAGGGATGCTGCCTCAGGTGGGGGTGAGCCCAGCGTGCCCACTGGGGATGACTTAGCGAGGGGTTTTCTGCATTTCCCAGCAGGAAAATGCTCCCCCCTGGCAGCCGCCCCTGGCCCCGGGTGCTGCTGCAGGAGGTGGCCGGCCGCCTTCGGCCACACGCTGGTGAGGACAGAGTCCACCACACGGGACGTCACCCCGGCCAGCTCCTGCTTCAGCGCCTGCGAGAGGACCCTGGCCACCGAGGGCAGGCCGCCCGTGTCCTCCTGCATCCCCTCATCCTCCTGCGTCCCCTCGGGCCCGTCCGCCCCTGGGGAGTTCCCCCAGGGAGCAGCTTTGTGGGGGCGGCGGGCAGCAGCGGCACCGTCCCTGCCCGGCCTGTCCCCAGCACCTCCCTGGGGCTGGGCAACGTCCTCAGGGTCACACACCTGGGAGAACCTCTCCTGAAGCCACCTCAGCTGCTGCTCCAGAAAGCAGAGCTGCTCCTTCAGCTGCTGGCACCCCGCAGCATGGGGGCTGCCCCCACTGGGTGCCCCTCTCCCAGCCACCCCCACACCCCGCTGAGGCTGGGGCACCCTCGGCTTCCTCCTGCCCTCCCAGGACATCTCTCCACCCTTCTCCCTGTCCTGCCCCACACCTCCCTCCACGCCGGTGCCAGGGGTTTGTGGGGTCGGTGGGAGGCTCATGCCTTGGATGATGCTCTCCACCCTGGCCCGCTTGGCTCGGAGGTGCTCGTCTGAGAGCGGCTCCCTGTCACCGGCACCGGGCACAGGAGCTGGGGCACGGGTCCTGGGGAGAACCAGGGCTTGTGCTCCTTCTGCAGGAGGCACACCGAGCTCGTAGCCCTGGGGCAGCCCCACTGGTCGTGAGGAAGGGAAAAGGGTGCAGGGGTCCAGGCTCCTGCTCACCACCGTGTGGCTGAGGAGCTGTGACACGAGGGACGCGCTGGGGGAGGACATCAGAGGGTCCCTCTGGAAACAGGGCTCTGTTTTCAGCCCCTGGCTGTGCCCTGAGGCAGCAGGGTCTCTGCCCTGCTCAGGGGCCCTCCTGCCATCCATCGGGTCTTCTTTCCTCCTGGGCACTGGGGGGCTGCCCTGCAGCTGGTAAGGGATCATTTCCAGTGACGGGCTGGCAGGCAGCCCAGGCGCTCGAGGTTTCAGCCAGCGAGAGGTACGGAGCTGAAGAAAGAGCAAGAAACATCACTCGGCAGGACTGGACACAGCTGCCTTCCATGCACATGGACACAGATTTTCCTCCCAGATTCTCAGTGCATCCCAAATCCCTTGCAAAACCCAGGGGAATGAGACATAGAAATCTCCAGGCACTGTAAAACACGTGAGCTGCTGACAGTCAGCATTTATGGTGCCTGGAGCCCACTTCAAACATTTTGGCCCCGAATGTGAGGATTTCCTGCACCACAGCCGTGTCCCTGGGAAGGGTTGGAAATCCATCTCACCATGCTTTGACTTCAGCTTCTCCATAAACACTGCAATGGCTTTAAATACAAAGCATCTCCCCTATCCCCAAGGAAACGGGAGCCTCAGGAGTACGTGCAAGGCACGGGCTCAGGGAGATAAGCAGAAAGGGAGCACAGAGCTGGGCTGGTGGACTCCGGTACGAGGGCGGCGAGCACCAGAGAGAGCCCTCCTCCAGGTGTGCCTGGGCAAAGGTGCTTTCAGGTGCTCCTGGGCACTGGCAGGGTGCCCGGGCTCAGGGACAGCAGCCCTGGTGGAGGCATTCATGGCACGTAGCTGCCAGAGCCCCAAGGACACAGAGATGGGCAGCACCTGCCTCCCACGGGAAGGGTCTGGGGACAGGGACAGCATGGTGTGACCGCTGGGATGCTGAGGCTACCACAGCACAGGGCTGCCAGGGGCTTGTTAAAACACGGAATCAAAGGGGTGGGGATGGGGATTACCAGGGAAGAAGGAAAGTCCTGAGCCAGCAGCCCCAGGCTTAAAATTGTCATGCTGAGTGCAGGCAGGCAGCCACCTCCTCCACTCGCTTGTTCTGACAGCTTCGCAAAAGGAGGAGCGAAAGCTCATATCCTGGGCCGTTACGGTGTAAAAATCCCTGTGGGATGCTTCCTCATCAACCACGTTACTTAGCAGTAGCTTTCCATACCTGAGGTAGGACAGTTTATGTCTTCTCCAGGCATCTTTAAAGTGCCTGAGATTCTTTTTCCTATGCCCAGAAACATCTGATCATTTTCAGCCCTATTCATCTCCTGTCCCACGACTGTTTTCTCTACAGCAAGTCCCCCAGGCTACCGAGCAGTGCAGAAAATGTTTCTACTCACTGTTTTATAGCAGGTTGCCTTTCTTTGAACAGCCCTTTACTCCAGGATGGTGTTCGGGAGAGTAGCTCTACCTTTTGTAAACTGCCCATCACAACTCATCACCCCAGCGTGGGTCCTCGGGCTTGCCCCTCCTGTAAATCACCATCCTGTCATCTCAGTACCACACAGACACTGCTCCCCTCCTCTGTCACGCTGTCCCCTCAGCTTGGCTAAGCCTTCCAGCACCTGAGCTGCTGCCTCCCCACACAGATCTGGGGAGTGGGAGCAAAACCCATAGTCCCCAGCCACCACAGCCCCAAGGAGAGGCTGCAATTTGCTGCAGGCACGGGAAGCCTCAGGACGGAGGGCAGGAGGTGAAGGTGAGGGGCTTCCAGGCATTGCTTTGCATCCAGACCCTGCCAAAATGTCCTGCCCAGGAGGTCCTGCCCCACGCAAACTGCTCCCGCTGATGGAGCCCTTTCCCTGCCGAGTTAACAGATGGGTGCTCTTACAGCCAGCCTTCACCAGCACTGCCTTACGAAATACTAATAAGAAGCTGAGGCTCCTCTGAACTGAAGAAAAAGACCAAGGAGCACAACAAAGCTACTCAGAAAAGCAACCAGGCATGTCTTCCCCGAAACGGGAGCAACCCCACGCAGGCTTTCCAGCTGTTCCTTGCTGGGAGAGCCAGGCACAGAGCAGCCTGCTGCCCCCCCAGCACTGCAAATACCCCCCGAGCTGCCCCATCCCCTCCGCCTCCATCCAAGGACCCCAGCCCAAGCTTCTCGCCCCCCTCTGCCCCGCTCACCTGGGCTGGCCGGGCACGGGGAGCCCTGAGGACAGCGTGCTGGGCGCTGTGGGATGCCGGAGAGGCCACCCCGGTGCGTCCTCCCGCTGTGCTCAGGTCCTTTAAAGAGGGAGTGGGGTGGCTGGAGGCAGCCAACCGGCTGGGAATGACTCCTGAATATGCAGATGGACGTCCAGGGGTCTGTCCACCTTCTGCTCCCACCCTGCTCAGCTGCCTCCCAGGCTTGCAGACACGGCACCAGTGGCACCAGTGCTGGGTTTGCTCTGTCCGTCAGCCCCCAGCCTCTCTCGTGGCAGAGCAGGGCGATGCTCGCTGGGCGATGCCTGCCTGGCTCTGCCATCCCAGGGGCTGTGCAGTGGCAGCCGAGGGGCTGGTCACAGCTGGGGCTCACGAGGAGGCAATCTCTGGCCCAGAGAGCTGCGACCAGCCCCCTCCACGCACCCCTGCAGGGCTGTCCCACCGCCTAGCAGCACCTTGAGAGGGTTGGGAAGCTGTGGCTTGGCCTTGGGACCCCATCCAGGACCCAGGGTGGTGAATTGTTGGTGAGATGACACAAATACACCAGGCTCGAGGTAAGTGGAGCCTGTGGTGTGGAGCTCCAGGTGCCCCCCAGCTCCTGCTGAAGGTGCCCAGTTTCTTCTAGCATCCCCCGCTGTGGGGATACCGGGGGTCTGTGGTGTAGGAAATGGCTGGGAAGTGGAATGACATAGGAAAAGCAGCCAAATTCAGTATGTTTTTTATTGTGGGGTACATCAGAGACATTTCTACCACCAGCACATCCCAACCTCACCCCCAGGACCGATCTGCCTGACGCTTGGTGCAGGAGGCGAGGAGCAGGTGGAAGTTCCCTGGAGCTAGAGAAAGCCGAGCTGCCTCTGCCCTTTCTAGGTCTCTGTTTAACTCACCTCCACACGCCTAACTAACACCGTGAGGTTTGTTTTACTCACTTGGTAGGCAGGCGGCTGTGGTTAGAAGCAGTTGACACCGGGTGGCCTTGCTCAAGGATATGAGCCCTCTATAGGCAGACCACAGAGAAATCCCTGGCAGAGAGCCTTCCTGGCACATTTGCCGTGCTTCAGAGCTGTCAGCACATCTCCGAGGCCTCAGAGACGACACCCTATTGATTTTTCTTCAACCTTTTTTTGAAAACCACACCGAGGATATTCATTGCAAACTTATATTAGGAGACTCTTGTGAAGGTTGCAGTTTAGCAATGATGTATTATTAACCCACGGCTAAATTTAGGATGTATGTGTAATCTTGACCTGGCTTCTTGGGAGATGTCTGATCGCCAGACAGACTTCATGGCTTTCCCAAGGTACTTCTTGGACATTGCAGTGAGTTTTTTGGGTAGGGCCCTTTGTACAAGAAGGATATGGAGGTGCTTGAGTGGGTTCAGAGAAGGGCGATGAAGCTGGTGAGGGGTCTGGAGCATAAGGCTTATGAGGAGTGGATGAGGGAGCTGGAATTGTTCAGCCTGGAGAAAAGGAGGCTCAGGGGCGACGTTATTGGTCTCTGTAGGGACATTAAAGGAGGCTGTAGCGAGGTGGGGGTTGGTCTGTCCCCTGACGTGGTGACAGGACGAGGGGGAGCGAGCTAAAGTTGCGCCAGGGGTGTTTTAGGTTGAACATTAGGAAAAACTTCTTTCCTGAGAGGGTTGTGAGGCATTGGGACGGGCTGCCCAGGGCGGTGGTGGAGCCACCACCCCTTGGGGTGTTTTAAAGCCGTGGAGCTGCGGAGCTGAGAGACGTGCTTCGGTGCAGGGCTGGCCGGTGTCAGCACAGGGTCGGCCTGGGTGACCTTGGAGGTCTCCTCCAACCTGGAGGACAACAGCAGCGCCCTCCCCGAGCCCCGTGCCCCCATCCCCGTGCCCCTATCCCCATCCCCGCCCCCCGCCATTTTCCCTCCTCCTCCTCCCCGCCCCTCCCCGCGCACTTCCCCCCGCGCCGGGCCCAGTTTCCGCCGTCCGCCCCGCGGCTCCCGGCGCGATGCTGCAGCTGTGGCGGGCCCGCTGCCTGGGCCTGCGCCGCCCGCTGGGCCGCTCGCTGCCAGCCCCGCGCCAGGTACCGGCCTCGGGGGCGCAACGGGAGCGGAACGGGGGTGGCGAGGGGGGGTGAGGGGGGAGGGGGGAGAGCGGCGGCGCCCGGCCGGGCGGGGACGGCGGCGCCAAGGGCACCGGGACGCGCCCCGAGCGCTGCGCCCCGCGCCCTCAGCGCCCCCCGGGTGTGGCCTCAGGGGGCGGCCCCGAGCTTGGGGGCGCTGAAACCTTCCCGAAATGCTGGGGTTGGGCACGGGAGGAGGGAAAAAACGGGATTGGGGAGGGGGGGCCGGGTGCTGTGCGGTGTGGGGGGGGACGGTGTGAGGCGCGGCCTGGGCGAGGCCCGCGGGGAGCTGCCCTGAGGCGGGGGGCCTCGGTCAGCAGCTGTCAGCGGAGCCCTGCTTGTCTGGGGGGGGTTTATGGAGAGCTTCTGCCCTCCCTGAGCTCAGTGTGCTGGAGATGGCAGCCCCCTGTCCTGGTGACTGTGTGTAGCTGTGTTAACACCCCCCAAAGACATGCAGAGGTGTTCTGTGGGGCCACGATTTCTGCTCATCCTTGTTGCTAAAGCAGCAGCTGTGGGGAAACGGGCTGGCAAAATGATTGCTGCCTCGCCTGTCCTCAGAGCTGGGCTCCTGTTGTGGCTCTGGGCAGTGAGCTGTGTGCTCCTGTTGAGTTTGGGTCATTCCCTCTTTGCTCCGCTGCAGAAGGGGTTTGCGGCACGCAGGGTGCCCTGTTAGCAGGTGTACTCCGTGGGTTATGTCACCGTGACGTGACCTGCTGGAAGGAGACAGCTCCGTAAAGGTGTGGCCGGGATGCGGTGTGCCGGGGTCACGCTGACACAGTGTGAAAGCAGTTCTGGGAAGTCACGTGGAACTGGGGGGAAAAGTTGATGGCCGGGTGCGTGAGGCGGTGGCGGATCAGCCAGAGACTTCTCCAGGGGAATGCTGTGCCTTGAGAGTGACCCAGAGCACTGGCGCCAGCTAGCCAGACCTGCCTGCTGCTGCTTTCACTGAAGAAGCTCTGGGATCAGATGCCAGGTGATGTCAGGAGCAGGTACAATCACAGTGATCCCTTCAGGAAAAAAGGGAACGGGAAACAGCCCCGTTGGGCACCCCGGAGCTGTGTGTGGCACTCTGTGGTTAAGGGATGGACACGCAGCGGTTCTGCAGAACACAAGCGCCTTGGTGGCTTTCATTAGCAGCTTCTTCCTCCTGTTAGAGCTCATCCCTCGCTTAGCTAGAAGGCAGACAGGCAGAGAGGCACTCGTTTTTTCCTTAATTTTGCCGTGACTGTGGAACACAGACTTGGCACCTCTCCTGGAAGAGAGCCGCAGATGTGTTTTCTCCCAGCCCTCTATTTTAGCCCAGAGCTTCTAAGCTGTTTTTTTAACCTTACAGTAAACGTTCACTGAGGCTGTGCCTCGTTCTTAATAAGTTACAGCCTGGGATGCCAGGATTACCTTTACAACTATAAAGCACCCGGGAAAACATTAATGGGTAGAGGTGAGCCCGGGTTGCTTGGAGTTTTATTTGCCATTAACCTGGCGTTATCTGGGCCGCTGCGGAGCGCGGGCAGGATTTGATCAATACGGGTGCTGGGACAGTGCTGGGGATCGTGGGGCGCTGGGCTTCCGACCAAATGGAGTTACTGTGGTGTGTGTCGTGCTGGTCCCAGCAGGGCCAGCTCTGCGGGCACCAGATGGAGCAGCAGGATGCTGCTGGACCCCCACGCAGCTTCATAGCTGTCCAAGGCAGGCC